CGTGTGTTCATACCTTTGAGCAGTAAGATTATCATCGATGAAGAATGGCAAAATTAAATGAATATTTATTATTTCAGCCCAAACGTTTAATATGATATTGGGTTTTGCTCTCTCGAATCCAATGAAGATTCTTTCCTGTCCAATATTCACTTGAAATGTTGCTTAATCTGAGAATACAATGTTGTAAAGAAACTCAAGTACGGAGAAGAGTTGCAAGAGACAGGAGTGAATGGATGATTGTTCTGAAGAAGGCTTTGGCTCATAAAGAGCTGTGATGCCACTTATGATGATGAAAGAAAGTCTGGATCTTGATCTATTTTAAGAATCATGTCTTCACAAAATTCTAAACGTGAGTCGAAATCATCTTAATTTATCTTAAGAACAAGTGTAGTTTTGTCAGGATGCAACTTATTTATTACTTTTAAAAATCCTGCGGACTGAAAATGTACCAATTTCTTGAGCTTGGGTAGTTCTATAAAAACTACTGTAAGGATTTACTGTAAATTATAATAAAAGATTCAACGCTTCTTCTTCGTTTGTTGTTGTAGATTCAATTCTTGAACTATTCTCTTCAGACACGATTTGGAGATAGAATTCATTTCAATTCGAAAAGTATCATTGAAAATATCGCTTGATTCCTAGTATGACCTTTTCCTATCACTCCAGCCGACCATCTTTAGTAATGCTTAGACTTCGGCAAATATGCATATTGCATATTTTGCATATTGTGCATATTTTATGCAAATATTTCATATTTTGGCATATTTGTATAAAAGTTTGCATAAAGTGCATAAAAGTTCAGATTTTTATACTGTATTTGAAAATTTTTAAACATACCAATTTATTTCAATTCTTGTATAAAATTTTGTAGTCATTTTAATCAAGAAATGATCTAAGTACGTAATCTCTACAGGTACAAAAACATTTACAATTTCAAAGAAGATCAATTTAAGTAGCCCTCAACATTCTTAGAAAGTCTCGGTTACTGAGGCATTCAGTTATTGGATAATCGCTAAGGGTTCGCTCATTTGCATTTTATGATCTAATCCCCAAATCTATCTACAATTTATTGTATCTTAACAGCAGGTAAACGGCTAATAGTTTTGTTCCTAATTTAGGGATTTTCCAAAATCTCCCAGTTTATTGAATTAGGTACCTAAACATTTCTAATTTGATGCTAAGATTTGTAAATCATTTTTGTTTTGATATTCAAAGCATAAACACTCGTTGTGCGTAACAAAAAGGAAGATTGTGATTTTATAATGCCTAAAACAACCAGTGCTTCAACTTGGATTAAACCTTATAAAGAGCTGTCTATGGATATGGGAAAAATCTACTGTTCAGTCTGTGGCAAAATTGTAAGTATCTAATATTTTCTATTAAATATCTAATATTTCATACATACAGGGTGTTTCCAAATGACACTTACAACGTTTGACTGTAGATACTTCTCGAAAAATTGAACAAAACGATATAGTTAATGAGGGGTCAAACTTATTTACTTTTCGAGATACAGGGTGTTAAAATTAAAAAAAAATTAAATTCTTTTAGTTAATAACAACAATAACTTTAAAACCAATAAACGTATTTACTTGAAATTTAGTACTCGTAGGTTGTTTTTGAATGAAAAATAGCTTCCTTTAGTGACAAAAAATTGTCCATGGTACAATACAATGGTGTGTATTTAGAAAAAATTTTCACCTTTACTTTTTTTTATGAAGTCAGCTATTCTAAAACACAATTATTTTTATTGTAATTGAATTAACAAAAAAAAAACTTTTGTTGAATTTTAAAATAAGTTATATGATGTACTAATGGTTAGTAACAAAAACTAATTTGTGGATTAATACTGCATTTAAAATACTTAGCGAGTGTTTTTTTTCCAAACCAGTTATTTGATTAACCAAAAACACCTTGTATATGTTTATATTTTAAAGGTTGCGTTAAAATAAAGCTTTTTATTTTTATTTATAGATAGCATGTGAGAAGAAATTTCAGATAGACCAACATGTGAGAACTGCTTCACACATTACAAAAAAAGGAAAAATAGGAGGAAAACATCAAACTTCAATGGTTAAATGTTTCAATGTTAAAAAAGCAAGAAACTTTTAATTAAGACTTGTGTCGCGCATTAGTGTCTGCAAACATACCGCTTTCAAAATTAGCAAATGTAAATTTTAGTTCGTTTCTAAAAAAATATTGCAAACTTAATGTTCCAAGTGATCGGTCTCTAAGAAGAAATAATGTGAACGGGCTATACTCGTCGGTGTTAATTAATATTAAGGAAGAAATTGCAGATAATTATTTTTACATATCTGTAGACGAAACCACTGATTCCTCAGGAAAGTATATTGCTCATTTATTGATTGGTGTTCTTAAAGAAGATACCTTACCAAAATCTCATCTTATTTCATGCCAGCAACTTGAGAAAAACAAATGCTTTAACAATTTCGCGTTTTATACAAGAAACATTAGCAACTTTTTTTCTTCCGACAACTATTCCTTCTAATAAATTACTGCTTATTTTATCGGATGCTGCTTCTTATATGGTGAAAGCAGGACAAAATTTAAAAATATTTTTCCCAGATTTAATACATGTTACTTGTGTAGCGCATGGATTAAACAGAGTTGCAGAGGAAATACGAAAAAAGTTTCCTCTTGTAAATACCATGATATCCAGTGTCAAAAAAGTATTTCTTAAATCTCCTATAAGAATTCAACTTTATAAAGAAATGCTACCTAACATTCCTCTTCCACCACAACCTATTTTAACGCGATGGGGAACATGGTTAGAAGCAGCTAATTTTTATGCAGATCATTTTGTTAAAATAAAGAACATAATTGATACGTTAACAGATGAAAGTTCCCAATCTCTTTTGGATTCTAAACAAACTTTTCAGAGTAACTTGCTTCAACAAGAACTTTCATTTATAAAATCAAATTTTAGTTTTGTTCAAAAAACAATTACTCAGTTAGAATCACCAAAACTGTCATTGTTCGAAAGTACAGCATTAATAAAAGAATTTGCGTCATGTTGTCGGAACGTTAGAGGTAATATTGGAAAAGATATTTTTTAAAAATTTGAAGCTACTATGGAAAAAAATAAAGGTTACCATATTCTTTCTGAAGTAGTCAGTGTTCTAGCTGGAAATATTTCGGAAACAATTAATTTAGAACCAAATGTTTTAGTTAGTTTGAAAAATGCTCCCGTTACATCAGTTGATGTTGAACGAAGTTTTTCCATATATAAATATATGTACTCAGACAGAAGCCACAAGTTTTTGTTAGAAAATTTTGAACACCACTTGGTCATTTATTGTTACCATAATTCTAAATAAGTTTATTCATACTTAAAAATGATGTAGTTACTTAAAATAAATGTAAATCTTAATGAATAGTAGGAAATATTTAGTTATGTACACTTTTTTTTAAATAAAATTGTTACTATTTTACGATTTTTTTATTTATTTGTATGCATATTTTGTAAAATATTTGCATATTTTTGGGTAAACACGTGCATATTTATGCGCATATTTTCTACATTTTTATTTGCATATTTGCCGAAGTCTAGTAATGCTATTCTTTCTTGTTCATTAAGGTGAACCATCTTAAAAGAAAAAATACTTTTACAAGTTAAATTTTTCATAAAAATACTGTTGGTTAGATTTTTATTTCACAGACCTTATTTTTCATAAAAAAACCATCTATCAATAATTAAACAATATTATAATATTGCATTAAAATATTGAATATTTCAATTATTTTAAATATTTTCATCGAAAAAAATTATTTCCTGTTTAATTTTAATTCTGACAGTGAGTGGGGGTGAAAATTTTTAAAATACTGAAGACAGTTTATGACTGTTAACGTAGAATCCGTAATGAAAAACTTTTCATTTAAGATTTCAAAGTTGCCCTCCATCTCACCCCCAATGGTTGGGGGTCGTGTTTGAGGTCATTCAACAAATTTTTGAAAAATATTGAACACGTGTTTTCCAGTTTTTCGATGGGATCTATATTTCGGGAAATATTCGACCCTGCCGCTTCTTTTGACACACCCAGTATATGCCATTCTGAAGCTATTTTCTTGTAGTTCTTAATACAATTTACTATTTTTACTGGTGTTTTGATTTAAAATATTCTAAGCAAAAATTGTTAATTCCAGTAAAAATAGTAAACAAATAATTATATAATAAATTAATTTGATAATGCCCATGGGCAGTTAAAGTAAACAAAGAAGGTGACAAATATGAAATTAGTATGTCTATGATGTGATGAATTAATGAACTTCTTTGGTACGTGTCATGTAACCTAGGGCAATCTTTAAAAGTGATGTATTTTTAACTGTACTTGGAATGGTTTCAAAGTAAATCATTCATTATAAGATATTTAATATCTGAAGTATGACGTTGATAGGAATAGCAATCCCTAGGCGATGAATATTATAAATTTATTGGTGGTATGATGTTGAAGGGACTACTAGCTTTTATGTGGTCAATAATATCGCTATTGGTGATATTACTGACTGTCAAAATTTAGTGATTTGAAGTATGAACTGTTGAAATATCCTATCTATTAGCCAGATTTGGCTCAATCTGATTTCCATCATTTTCAGATCTTAAGAAAATTATGGCTGGACACGTTACACATTTGTTTTTTCACTACTAAGCTAAAAATTTTATATATTGACCTCATATGATAATAAAGCAACGAAATTAATGGGGAGAAAAACGTTAAGTTAATTGAGAAGATTCAAATCTAGCAATATGAAGGTCAATACAAGAAATCAATATCCAACATCGAGCTTGTAGAAGACTGGATGGCGATAAAGTAGGAACGAAGTGCACAATGTGAACCTCATATTAAAGGTATATCTTGTACATTGCGCGTAAAAAGTGAAAATTATAATCATTGTAATTTAATACACAATTGTTTTTCTTTAAAGCTGTAAGTAGTGTAAAAGCATTATTTTTACCAAAAATCAAAACGAGATACAAAAACTCAAGTGCTTTGCAAATGCCTCAACCTCAAATTCATTGCCTCGTCAGAAGGCGTTTCTTTAAACAACGTGGAAGATAAATCTATAGCTACATATAGTCCACACAACAGCATCGGACCTATAATAGCCCCTTCCATTCCTAAACAGAATATGCCACCTGCTATAGCTAAACCGGTTAAGTAAGGATGACCACCTCCTTTTATTTCTTTGTAAATGGTAGTGTCAACAACAGAAGTGGGTAAAAACTGTACTCCAGCAAATATTATGGCCTCTATTCCTCTATCTTGAGCTAACCAAAGATCCAGTACTGCCGGTATACACGCCAAGTAAGTCCCAAGAAAAGGTACCGCTCCTAAAATACTTGCAAAAACTGTAGGTAAATACACGATTTTAACACCAAACAAGTTATGTATGAACCACGTCCACATGCCATAAAATGCTGCCATCTTGAGAGAGGCCGAGAAAACTCCTATAATCGCCCCTTCCAAAGCCTGCCCAAAACGTTTCCCACTCGGAGAGAAATTTGTCAATAGTGCAACAGGTTTATAGAGATCCCCACTACAATTCAAGAGGTAGAATAGAGTTGTTAAAAAAACTACTACATTTAAAATAAAATTCAGTACAGCAGTACCGCCACCTAGCAAAACCGAAACAAAAGTACTGAAAGATCCTAGAATCAGACTTATATTTCCTTTCAAAATACCCCAAACAGATTCCATTAAAGACATTAAAGTACCAATATTTTGTTTGCCAAAATCCATTATACCATTCAAGTTAAACATCTCAGGTGATTTTTGAATGTCTTCAACAAAATTATTCCATGTAGTATGTACAGCATCATCAGTCACTTTAGGACCGTTTGAATCATTCGTAGACATCCAGTTTTGATAGACTCTATCCCACAGTTCCAGAACTTGTTTTTCCAACTTCTCTGATTTAAGAGGATCAACATCAGACACCAATCCTTTGACTGTTTTGGATATACCCTCTCTGCCATACATATAAGCGTTATCTAAAATCGAGTCAACAGTATCATCCCAAGCAGGTGGCAGAACTTGTTTCAGTTCTGGATTGTGAACAACAGTTTGGTTAATAAGAGAACCAGTCATTTGAACCAACATTATGGCTTCTGCATAAATTTGTACAGTAATAAAAAGCAGAGCACAAGCTAGGAAGATAATTAAACCGAAGATAACAACGCAGCTAGCAACAGTATCTATACTATCTTTGACTGCGTTTTTTAACAACTGGTTTACTTTGTGTATAATGTGGTATAAGCCTCTAATTGGCACAGGTACTAAGGCATCGTGCCTTTGGTGGCACCAAGATGCTACTATCTCAAATATATCACAGCATTTTTCGTACATATAATTCCATAAGCCAATATAATAACCAAAGTATTTAACAATGTAAAATAAGATGGGAATTGGTAGAAGGAACAATAACATAATGTTCTTCCAAAACAACATTACAACGCACGCCCACATAACTGACATTAAGTAAAAATTACTTTCATAAGTCTGTGTATCAATAAGACTTGAATGGGAGTATCCTATTTTCTTACCGAATTTGAACGTGGAATCATTAGTACTCTTAGAAGAAAAATAAGGTTGGGATAACGATCTTTTTAGAGGGGGTTTAGTCTTAAATATATTATCTTGTGCTTTCTGAGAAGTACTGCTTACTGAAGTACCATTGTCAAACAGATCCAAAGACAAAGGATCCCTAGGATTATTAGATGTAGTTCCTTGTTGTTCTTTTTGGCCATCAGGTTGAATAAATTTTGGAGGTTCTGGTAGTGCAACAGTGTCAGCGATTTCTTCCGGGTTTTCTTGCTCTATTGTCTCCATTTCTTCATCAGCTACTTGACGTTCATTCAATACTGAAGATACCGATTCTAGTAATGTGACGGACTGACCTTCTTTGTTCATACAACTGTAGTATTCGTAAACCTCCGAGATAAAACCTTAAACAATAAAATCATAATTTAAATGCGGAAAATATGATACGGTACAAAAGCTTAAAGAAAAATGTAAACTTAAATAACGAAATAACAAATTACTATTTGAATGGGAATAAGCTACAATTAAAGGTTAAAGTAAGTTTATTAACGTTTCAATTTCCACTTCGGAAATCGTTCTCAAAATACAAACATTAATTTAATGTTTTTGACACCATTGTCCTAGTGCAAGAAGATGCGACGATTACGGTTGTTTTTACGGAGTTCGTCAATCACTTCTGGCAAATAAATGGTTAAATTCAGCATTGATGATTCTACCATTCCCTAATGAAATCGTGTTAACATGTATGTCCTATTCTTTCTAAATAAACTCGCGACAATTTGTTTGCCAATACTGAGAGAGCATACTACTTTTTTTGGTTTTGGTTCGTCTTGAAACACTCATACCGTTGATTGGTTTTCCGTTTTGGACTCATAACAATATATCCATGTTTTATGAATGAATATGTCGCGACACAAATTGACACGTGCCTTCTTATGGGCAGCGATCAAATTATAAGGAATGCAACGACTGCACATCTTTCTCACTGCCAAATGGTGTGCCAAATTGTTTATATTGACTCATGCGTATGTTCAATGATGAACAAATTTTTTTCAAGAAATTGTTTTGAAAATTTGTTGAAAATTGATTTTCAATATGCCAATGTTATTTATCATAAGAAATGTCAAAATTGAGTAACTTCCTCTATAATATAGATGACTATATACAAATGATTTAATGTAAATGTAAGCCTCGCATTCTAGTATTTCCACAAATGTTTAATACAAAATAAAAATATTTTTGTTAGAAACCGATTTATATGATAAAATACTACAATTTAACAAGTTATTACTTCCTATGAATATGTAGGTACAGGTATTAAGTTTAAAGCAGTTTCTAGGTTACGATTACAATTAGCTATATTAATTTTTTATATTGTTTTTCTCCTTGAGTTTTATACTACTCATTTATATTCAGTAAATAAAAAATTATGACACTGCATATCTTGAATGTTTTTCTTTACCATATTATTGCGGCGAGATTACTATATTATACAGGGTGTTATAAAGTATGGCTTTAGATGATTGTGTCAGTGTTACAAAGATATAATTTTCAGAATTTAGTGTTTTGAGATATAATTGCGTATTGCCTCTTAAAGGACCATTGTATCTTGTGAGATACATTCATGTAGTAAGTTTTAAATGTATTAAGAAAATAGCTCTGATCAAGATAATGCCAACATAAAAGTATATATATATATATATATATATATATATATATATATATATATATATATATATACATCTTCAAAAGTATTAAATTTAAAGCAAAATTAGATGTAAAAAATTTGAAAAGAACTGTATAAAATAGTCCATTCGAGATCTTTAAAAATAGCAGAGGCTTTGGAAATTTTTATTTAAGATTCCTCTGCTGATCCTTTGCACATATGTTTATGCCATTCTTTGTGAAATATGCCAATTAGTTTTGATGTCTCTAATATACATTAAACAAAGACAACATATGATGAAGAACAGTGATTGATACCTAGAGTAGAGTAGAAATATGCTTTATTGTCACTGAAAATTGTACAATTTTATGGACAAAGCTTAAAAAAAGTAAAAAAAATACCAGTAACAATTAAAATTTACGAAAATCACATACATCATCAATATCATTGAATCACAAAATAAAAGATAATAAAATATACAATCCATTGCAAAATTTAACTAAACTGCAAATTACATAATAAAATTGTACGAACTAGTTTATGAATAAGTTTAAGTTGCTGCACATGATTCTCAAATACATATAAAAATACTTTAGTTGCTTGTACCTAAATGTACTGTAATTTCATAGTTATTCGTTAAGAAATTCTTCCAACGAATAAAATGGTCTTTCCGATAGATAGGCTTTTGTCAATTTACAGAACTTAAGGAAAGAAGTTGTAGATTTAAGTTGCAAAGGGAGATGGTTGTATAATTTTTTTGTCAAATATACTATAGATTTATTTACTAAAACAGTGAATGGGGTAGGTAAATACACATCAAAGCTGGAATTTCTGGTGGAGTAGTCATGATTGGGTCTTGCTGGAAAAACATGTAGATGTTTACGAATTAAGCAAACAGTTTTTAGAATATATAAAGAGGGAAGAGTTAAAATCCTGTGAATTTTGAAGTATCTTCTGCAATGTGTTATTCTACTGAGGCCAAAGAGATAGAGTCAAAATCGTTTATAACGAACTTCAGAGGACTAATGGTTTTTGTACGTTGTAGCCAGTGTTCTCTGTAAGCGGTTCTATCGGTTATAATGAACAGGTTGCTATAAACGATATTACACTGGTAGGGAGAGTTAGTTCGTTGTACCTAGGTTTATGACGCAAAAATGTGTTACTTTATCTATACTTATAATATGTTATAATAACATATACATAACATTTAACATATGTGTTTATTGTACTTACGCAAATCTAAATATGTACATACATATATGTATAATATGTATTGAAATAAGTATAAGTAGTCATAAAGTATACTCATCATATAACAGCTTCTCAAAATCTTCGTATTATAAAAATGAAGGCATACATATACTATTTAATGAAATGAAATGAATATTTAATGAAAAAAGTCTGTAGTTTTTGTTTGTCGCCTTCCTTGAACTTCTGAAAAAAACATTTTTTCAATTGATGTGGAAACAAGCGATAATGATTCTTTCACACTCTGGGAAGTTTCAGCGTCTGAATAAATGCTCGTAAGGTGGAACAAGCAGCATACGCTTCAGCAACAGTAGGGATTTTGCCGAAATCTTCCAATTCTTCATCAGCCTCATCAGTACTTTGTTTGTCACTAGTTTGGTGACTCAGTACGATGTCAATATCTGACAGTTCTTCGCTCGTACTTATTTCGTCATCCACTCGTACATAGTCATCTGCAGAGCAGTCAGAACTGAAAAGGGAAATGGCATCCTGCAAATACGTTTGTGCAATATCGTTGTATGCGATTCCTGATGGTTGTAAGTCGTTAGTTAGGCCGGAAAAACGAAAACAGTTGATAATCTTTCTTCTGCACAGATTCCATGCCTTTGATATCATTAGTATAGCGTCAAGAATACTGACTTTCGTATCGTCAGTATTTTCTATCTTTCGATGATTTTGTACACCAATTCTTTCCGAAAGCATGCTTTAAGACTTCTTATAACTCCTTGGTCCATGGGCTGCAGTACCCACGGACGTACAATTTGGAGGCAGAAAAACGAGTTTAATTTGTTTTAAACCTATCAACTGGGGGTGGGACGGACATCCAGGCTTTTTTATTGAAATCGTAATCAACAGGGAGATTTTTCACGTTTTTAAGACAGCGCGGAATTTTACTTTTTCCTATCACCAAAAGCTTCCTTTTTATGGAACCGGACATGTTGGCTGCAACAAGAACTGTAACTCGCTCTTTTGAGAGTTTACCACCGGAACATTTCTCCCCTTTAAACTTTAACGTGTGATCAGGTGTCAGTCTAAAAAATAACCCCATCTCGTCAGCATTAAAAATTTCACCATCGCTATAGCCGGACCTGAGTGTAGGCCACACATTTTCAACCCAGTCATTAGTAATTGAACTGTCAACAACTGCTGACTCACCTGAAATTTTTCCATGGACAATATTGTGGCGAGCTCGGAAACGGCCCACTCACGGGTACATTGTTTGCGCGTTGTTGTTTGAACCAATCGAGCAAAGCACTTTCAATGTCAGTGTAATTTTAAGACCGAACGCGTTTTCCTTTTTCACACTTATTAAATTGCTTAATAATTTTCTCTCGTCGTTTCATCATTCCAGCAATTGTTGAGCGTGACGTTTTAAATTCCCGGGCAATCGAACTCGCGGAATCACCGGAGTTGACTCGGCAAATTATTCCAAACTGTTCCTCAATAGTAAATTGTTTCCGTGACATTTTTTCTATGAAGGCTAGACACAACTGAATTCAAATTCAGAAACTCTTGGCTTAGGCCAAATGGTGAAATATAAACAAAATTTTGTAATACAATGGACCCGTCTTAGGAGGTCTAAATGACTAAAGGACAATAAATGCCTATCCGGATATACTATAACCATAAATGAATAAATTCTTACTTCTCATTTCATGGTACTAAATATTGGTAATACCTGTGTGAAATACAACACTACAATGTCCATTTTCATAACTTTACAGGATAGCACTTTTAAACTTATTTATTAAGATGTGGAAATAATATTATATTAAACATTTTATCTACTGTCATTTATATCATGCGTTGGTTATAATTATTTATTATTTACTTATTGTACAGTGTGTAAAAATGTCATAATTGAAAAAAATTGATGTATCATCTGAGGTACAGATATGCTGCCGTGTTAAATCAAAAGGGCGTATCTGCTTTAAACTAGTTTGCGAGAAAAATCAGTTTTAGTGCTTTTGATTAGGCAATCGTGATTTTTTAAAAAGTTGTGACTTGTACCATATAGAAGTTAACAAATAGGTCTATACTATCATGTGACAAATTTTGGTAGAGTATTAACTTGGGAAAACAACACTTTTGACAGATTTTGACAGATACGCCTTTTTCACTTAACATGAGGTATATAATTAAGAACGTAACTACATGATTTTTTGAAAATATTTATTGCATTAAACAAATGAACGTTACAATATTAATGTATTAATTTCGTAAGTTATTCTTAATAATTAGGAAAAGTTAAAAAAGTAAACAACAATAATACAGACTAACTAAAATATCATACTCAGTCAAACAAATATTAATTATTAATACTTAATTTTCTACTCCGAACTAGTTATTATATTATATTAATCATCAATTGTGTCCACATTTTCGCTGACAAAAATATTTTTCCAAAATGCAATGCGATTTGGGGGCATTATTTGACCAATTTTAGTGATTATATTCTGTTTTCTTTCCTTGGTAATACCTCGTGGTTGA